TAGTATATTATCTAAAATTCTAAAGATGAAAATAAATAATTCTCTAATTCCTTGCTTACATGTAAGCAACAAATATCAATAACCAAATGTTTCATTTTATAAATACTGTGGCTCATCTAATTAATCTGAGGAACTAAGAGCCAAATTTCAGTCCATCTCTATACAAGTGTATGAGATTTTACCCCATATGCTTTATTCCCTGAGTTCTTTATTTTTCTAGTTGCAGTTTTTCCTTTCCCCACTTATATTTGTTGTTTTGAATATACTACTAAAAAATCACCTTAAGTTATTTTTTAATAGAGGATGAATAGCTAATGTGGTAAATGGAAGTGGTTAAGTGAGTCAAAAGGTAACTTTTCCAGTGCTATCTATAACAAATATTACTTTTGTAATAACTCACTACCTTTACTGGCATAAACGTATTACAAAATCTCTTTTGTAGTCTATTCTTTTTTGTATTTGGATTGCGTATCCAAATGTTCAACAAAGTGCTTTAAATACTTGGGCTTACATGTTCATATTTTTTTATATATTATGGGTTGAAAAATGATACCTCCACCCTGCCCATAATTCATATCTACGAGGAAACTTAGAATGTGGCCTTTTTGGGAAATAGAATCTTTGCAGCTATGACTAGTTAATATTAGGTCATATTGCCTCTCCTGCCTCACCCCACTGCTCCCTTTAGTAGTGTATTTCAGTAGACCCACCTAATCTGCTCCCCACTCTGTCTCTGGTGAATTGCTCACCTCCTACACCCCAGGCCTTTGATACAAAATAAATAAATAAGCTAATTAATTAATTTTAAAAGATAAGGTTATATTGGATTAGAGTGTCACCTAAACCCCATTAACTGCTGTCCTTACAAAAAGAGGGGAGGACACATAGGGAAGAAAAAAGCAGAGTGGGGTAATGCAGTTAGAAAACCAAGAAATGTCAAGAATTGCCAGCAACCATCACAAGTCAGGTGGGAAGAATGGAAACTCTTTCCCTCAAAGCCTCCAGGAAGAACTAATCTTGACAATATCTTGATTGGACTTCTAGCATTTAAACATATAAGAGAGTTAAGTTTTCTAAAATTCTGTTTGAAGTCATCCAGTTTCTGGAAATTTGTTGTATAACCCTATGAAACTTAACATACTGTCCAACTGTATTTTCATTAAAATGATCTCAAAAGCATCTGAGGTTTATAGCTTCTAACCTGAAAGTACAGTAATAAGAGTGAGTAGGTCTATGAGTTTGTTTTTTTCTCTCTCTTTTTTAAAGATTTGTTTATTTATGCATACAGAACTGGGGTACTGGCCAGTGGAGCAGGGGCAGAGAGAGGCTTCTCCAGAGACAGAGTGGGGAGCAGAACAGAAAAATCCATGGAAATACACTGCTGAGGGGAGCAGCAGTCAAGTCAGGAGAGGTATGCTGCACCATGTGGGTCAGCTTCCTGGCTGGGGATCCAACTTGCGCTGAAGTGTCTGCAACTAACTTTGAAGTGCTGCACTTTAATCCGCTATGCTATTAGGGAGAGCCCAAGTCTATGATTTGTAACTTGAAAAGTAGAGTTATATGAAAATCAAAGGAATGGCTGTGAGTGTGATGATTATAAAATTTGACTCTGAAATCTATACCTAACAAGAATATCTAAAATCTATATCTAACAAGAAAAAGTTGGAAATACAAGGTACTGCACTCATTTCTGAAATTCTATACCAAAAACGCGAATAAAGTTTTAAACAAAGGTACAGCACTCATTTCTTATATTTAAAATTCATCCTGTTTAGAAAGATTAAATTTTTGAAGACCTTTGAAGACCATTCCCTTTTTAACTCATTAATGTTATATGTAGTAAGGTTTAACCAGTGAAGTTGAGGAAGCAGTTGGTGGAATCTATTGCTCAAGCCAAAATGCTGATTTATGATGTAAGAATAAACACTTTCTTAAGCTGCAGTTGCAAGCACAGTAAATCGATACTGCCATTCAGTCATTTAAAAACTCAGCAAATTACCCAGGGTTACATTAATGGAACTCCCCACCCTTTTTTTCTTTCCTTTTTCTCTTGCTATATGAAACTCAGAGGAAATTATACATATGCAAGATGCTACTCCTAAGTCTTTGTTAGAGCAATATAATGATTATCAATCATCTTAATTGATGGTCCATAATATACTGCATACTATGTGAATAAAAATAGTATGTGCTTTCAGTTTACCTCTGGGATGAGATAGGGAAAAATCTTGGTGATCAAATGCATCTATAGTAGATGCATTATGTGGAACTCACAGCAGCCTATGGTTCTAATCTAACTTACTTTTTTACAATGAAAGATGAGAGACATAGCCAAATCATCTCTTTCTGATATAAGCAAGCTGATAAAGATGTCGTGGCTGCCTCCATAGAGTATGCACCAACATTGTATTGATTTACATTTTCTTTCATTTGAATCTATATTTCCACTACCAGTGACCTTTATTTCAAGAGGGAATATAGAAATATATATATATATATATATATATGGAATTTTCACAAAGTTTTGTGAACAGCCTTCTTACAAATCTTTAAATGCTTTCAATAATTCTATATTGTGTGATTTCAGTTAAATCTCAAATCAGAAAAATAGAGAATAATTGTTGAATAAAAAATAGGATGAATGATTTTATTCATTATGTATTCCTGTTATTTTTGCTCACCTTGCTACTTTTTAATTTCGCTTCTACTATTGATCTATTTTTTTTTTTAAGATTTATTTACGTATGCATGCAGAACTGGGGTAAAAGCCAGTGGTACAGGGGGCAGTGAGAGAATCACCAGAGATAGAGTGGAAAGCAGAACCGGCAGATTGAGGAAGTACACTGCTGAGGGGAACAGCCTGCAGCTCCAGCGAGGTCTGTCATGCCATGTGGATCACCTATGGGGCTGGGGAACGAACTCTCTCGCACTGAAGTGGCTGGCTAGCTTGCATTGCTTACCTGTTGTGCCACCAGGGAAGACCCATATTGATTCTATTTTTTTTAGGGAACTTAATCCTGTGATCATTCTAGCATTACAATTATATTCTTCACAGGACTAAAACATTGGCATTCTGGGTTTATTGAAATAAACCTTTAAACTGTGACTACTTCACTGTGGGGCCTAACATAGTGGTTGAAACTTAGTAGGCTCAATTAATTTTCCCTGCTTCACTATAAATTATAGTTCCATTTAATCTGTGCATCAAAGAAGATAATTCCTGCTATAGTCTGAATATTTGTTTCCCCTGCCCCACAATGCATATATTGAAATCTCAATCTCCAAGGTTATGATGTTAGGAGATAGGTCCTTTGGAGGATGACCATGAGGACTTTATAAAAGAAGCCCCTTAGAGCTCCCTACCCCTTCCAATAGGTGAAGACTCAGTGAAAGAGCTAAGTGTCTACGAAACAGAAAGCTGTCAGTAGACAAAGAACATGCCATGATGACCTTAAAGTTCGACACCTCCAGAACTAAAAGAAACAAACATTTTTTAACCAGTCATTTTTATGCTGTTTTATTAAATCACCCCAAATAGAACAAGGCACTCTCATTTTAAGAAACTGTATGCACGGTACTCCTAAAAATAAAAAGTAAAATAAAATTTTAAATGTGGTGTCTTATGAAACATGATAGAAGATAGTCCATTATTTACTTTGGTCAAAGCCATTTCATAGCAGGTGTGGGTTATTCTTATACAGGTAAGACAATAATGGGGACAACCTTCAGGAGAAAAAAATCAAAGAAAGGGGACACAATTGTTAACCATGTAACTCTCAGAGGTAGGGAAGGGAGATGGCCATGGTTGGTAGATAGTCCCTGTCCTGTGCCTAATGGGGAGGAGAGGGTACAAGGATGTGCAGGTGAGCTGCTTACCTCTTTTACAATACAAATCAGTTGGCTTTGCTCTTTTACTCTCCCACTCCAATAAGAACTCTTAGGCTTGGCTCCACATCCACCTGATTCTTACAATGCCTCCAACAGGGACTTAACCATATTTATCTGGCTTATGTGAAGGAGGCTTGGTCTCCAGTAATTATTAAAATAACAATAAAATGTTTTACATACAGCCAAGGAAGATCAGCTACTGCTGTCAGTTTTGCCACTAGTGATGTAGTCAGAGGAGCTAGCTGACACTTCCAGAGCAATAGAGGGCCCCTTCCCTCTCTTGTCAGGATAATATGACTTGGAAAGATCGTCTAGAAAGCAAAAGGAAGAGTCAGATAAAGGACGGCTTTCTAAGCAGAAAAGAAAATTGAGGAGAGATGCCTTTACCTTGACGTGACTAAGGAATAACAAGGAAATAAACACACAAGCAAGCAGATTTGGTATTATGCTTTCAAAAATCTTTTTTTTTTTTTAAGATTTATTTATTTGTGCATACAGAACTGGGGTACAGGCCAGAGGCTCAGGGGCGGTGAGAGGCTTCACCAGAGACAGAGTGGGGAACAGAACAGGCAGATCGACGAAGTACACTGCTGAGGGGAGCAGCGGGCGGGTCAGGAGAGGTCTGCCTCGCCATGTGGACTCCTCCGGGGCAGGCGGGGATAGAACTCATGCGGAAGCGGCTTTAGATTCTCAGTGCTGTGCTTCAACCCGCTGCGCCACCAGGGAGGGCCCTCAAAAATCTTTTAATCACGCTTGGCCTAAGACCAGTTACATGAATCTGTCCTAGCCTAGCTCACTTCCAACAAGACAAAAGCAATGTCAACTCCCATAAGTACTCACTGGCATCTCCCCTCAGAAAGTTCAATACAATGTAGGAAGGGAATTGAAGTACCAGAAGTGTGAGCGAGCGCCCTGAGTTGACCCCGCAGCTGCAAAGACAAGGGGCGAGGCCCCCGCACCGCGCCTGCGGGGACAGAACTTCCGGGGCGGCGCGCGCGGCCGGGGGGCGGGGCCTGGCGTCAAGCACCGCCTACGTCGGGCTGCGCGACAATGGGCGGGCCACCGAACGCGTCTGCGGCGGCCGCGAGCCTTGGGGGGGGCGGAGCCGCCGCCGCTGCCGCCGCCGCAGCCGGGGTCGGGATTTGAAAGATTAAAAACTAGAGGTAGAAAGGGCGGCGGCGTTGAATGTGTCGCGGGAGCACCGGGGGCCACGGCTCGGCGCGGGCCGGACAGCCGGCGGTGTCTCCTCACCATGAATTACCCCGGCCGCGGTTCCCCGCGGAGCCCGGAGCATAACGGCCGGGGCGGCAGCGCCGCCTGGGAGCTGGGCTCAGACGCGGAGCCAGCGTTCGGCGGCGGCGTCTGCTGCTTCGAGCACCTGCCGGGCGGGGACCCTGGCGACGACCAGGTGCCCCTGGCTCTGCTGCGGGGTGAGCCGGGACTGCACTTGGCGACGGGCGCCGAGGACCGCAACCACCACCTGGCGCTGGACCCCTGCCTCAGTGACGAGAACTATGACTTCAGCTCGGCCGAGTCGGGCTCCTCGTTGCGCTACTACAGCGAGGGCGAGAGCGGTGGCGGCGGCGGCGGCAGCACCTCGTCACTACACCCGGCGCAGCAGCCGCCGCTGGTCCCGTCAAACTCCGGAGGCGGCGGGGCTGCGGGAGGGGGTTCCGGGGAGAGGAAGCGCACTCGGTCGGGGGGCTCGGCCGCCCGGCACCGCTACGAGGTGGTGACGGAGCTGGGCCCGGAGGAGGTGCGTTGGTTCTACAAAGAGGACAAGAAGACCTGGAAGCCCTTCATCGGCTACGACTCTCTCCGCATCGAGCTTGCCTTCCGGACCCTGCTGCAGGCCACGGGCGGCCAGCCCCAGGCCGAGGACTCGGACGGGGTCCCAGCCTCCGGCCCGGCCTCGCCAGTGGAGGACGACGATGAGGACGGCGTCTGCGGCTTCTGCCCGCGCAGTGCGGGGCAGGAGCCCGAGATGGAGGAGCTGGTGAACATCGAGCGGGTGTGTGTGCGGGGCGGCCTCTACGAGGTGGATGTGACCCAAGGAGAGTGCTACCCGGTGTACTGGAACCGTGAGTAGCCTGCGGGGGCTGGGGCGGCACTGGGACGGGCAGCCTCGGCGGGGGGCCGACTCGCGACGAGTGGGTCGGGGGCTTGACCCGCGGGGAGAGGGAGGCGCGTCTGGCCTGGCGTTTGGCCGGAGCTGGGTGGAGAGATGGTGCCGGCAGAGCCGGCAGGTAATGGGTAGCAAGAGCAAAAGGCAGAGCCCAAGCTGCCTGAGGTCAAAGGAAGATACTGTCCGCGTAGCGCCGCCTGCCTAGGCTGAGCCTAGTGCTGCTGCCATCCCTTGGTGGTAGTCCAGGAAGGTTTAATGTCGTGACCCCTTCGAAGCCTTGCCTACCGGGGACTGATTCTGCCTCATTTACCCTGAACTGCCTGATTTAAATAGCTTGTCCTTTGGAGTGGGAACGTTTGAGAGGATCTGTGTGAGGATCAACAGTTCAGTATGGACTCAGGGAAAGAAAATCCCTGGCGGGAAAGGAAAGGGCTAGGTGGTTCCCACAGGATTGCGGGAAAGGTGGAAAGCCGGCGTGAGCCTGCCTGGCAAGGGGGTCCGCTCACTGTGAATACTCTTTTGTCTAAGTCCTTGTGTACGCTTTTTAAATTTTGCTTCATAACCTTGAAAAATCCCAAGGCCTCTGCCTTGTTTCTGCATCTGTAAAATAGGGGTGGTTGTATTTACCTCAGAGGGCTGTTGTGGAGATTGCATGAGGTAAACATGTTAGGATGGGTCCTTATTCACTTAGCAACATAATTGGTTTTATAATTAAATTTGATTAACAGGAGATGATCAGAAATACCTGCGATTGAATGTAACAAATGTTACATATGTAATTTGTAATGGATAATCTTAAGTAACAGAAGCTATGGACTATCAATAACTTGTAATAACATAACATCATTTTAATTTTTATGGGCCCAGTGCCCTAACTCAGATATCCTCCTTTACTGTCATTAATTTTGTCTTCCATACATCTTCCATATATCCAAGACAACATTCTGCCTTGTATTAATTGTATGTTGTTGATGACTTAGTTTCCTTTCTGGATGTTTAGCATTTTATGGACATAGTCCATTGCCTTTATCATTGTACTTTCAGAGGGCCTAGTGCAGTAGATAAAATTAATGATAGATAATCAAAATCAATAGGTATTAGATTATATCAGCTACTCGATGTTAAAACATTCATATATTAAGCATGAGTCACTAAGATAGCAATACAACATTTATCAAATACCCAAATAAATAACCAGGAAATTTAATCTCTTACCACATTTTAAATGACTGAAGACATTTGTTACCATTTCAGTAAAGCCAGATTCTTGTGAAATTTGTCACATCATTCAATTTGATTGTTAGCTTTCTAAGGATAAGTTATGTTTATATTCACTAATTCATTCAGCGCTTTAATTTTTACTATTTGCATATGTGTATAGTACAGTACTCTTGTGAAGAGTAAAATGGAAAGGTGGGAGGGGAATGATAATCTTTACCCTTCAGGAACTTACCATTTAGTCTTTTTTAAAAGTGACCTAGACATCACTGTGAAGCTTTTTTCTTTGCGATAGAAACACTAAGACTTAGTGGTGCCAGAAAGTTGGACCAGATGTGGGGGCATCCCCCCAGAGGGACTGGAAACCAAGAGACATATCTGAAATGTAGATCAGCTGAAGTATGTTCACTAGGAATACTGACTTACTTTAGCTTATGATAAAATTGTTAATGCTTACATAATGCTTTAACTTTCCAAAGTACTTTTTTTCACATTCATTATTTCTTAGTGATAGTAAATTAATGTTAACATTTTATATATTTTGTGTGTATGTATATATACATTTATATATAAAGAAATTAATAAACTTGTTCAAGGTCACTCAGAAAATAGTAAAGCAGTGAAATATAATGCAGTGTCCAAAAAGAATCTGACCCACCCAAGGATTAGGGTGTCAAGAAAGCTTCCCAAGTAATGCAAGTCCTAAAGGGTGAGTAGAAGAAACAGAGGTAGAGGGTGCAGAGGTGGAACAGAGATGTTCCAGCTAGATGTGGGAGCATGCAGGACACAGAAGCATGAAAATGTATGGCATTTTGAGGAATTTAGTACTGCAACAGCAGAGGCCAAGCCACAGATTAGGTTTGGGGTTTGACCATTGTAAAGACCAAAACATGTTTGATCAGGGAAGGAAGAGTTTGTTAAAGGAGCACCTATCTGTTAGTGGCACGTTTGGAAGAGTAGCTAGAGAAAGAACAAGGTTGTATGTACATTTCTAAGAAATTTAGACTTTATCCTGTGAGTAATGGCAGCCAAACAGTTGAAGGTTCTCTATTACTTAGGTGATTGGTGATAATACAAAGGTTGAATGTAAAGTTGGAGAATATATAATTAGAACGTTAGTGTCAAATATAGTGAGAAACAGTAAGGGACTACCAAAATTAAGCTAAAAGGACACATAGACTTAGTCTTCTCACATCTTCTTTCCTAAAGCAGGCAGCTTATAGATAAATTATAAAAAAATATTTTTAGCTAGCAACATCTATTGTGACTGTTTTCACATTTTCTAAATAGTTTTAGACAAGACACATGCCTGTGGGTGTCCCATGCCTTCATTGGAGTTACGATGAAAACACAATAGTGCTTTTCATCTATAATGAACCACTTTTCACAAAATCCCATGTAACTGCCCCTGTTGGCTTTTCAGATCTCTGAATTATATAAGTTTATATGCCTCAAAAAGGTGCAGTCCCAATATGATCTCTCCACCCTTTCTTCAAATGGAAAGACTCATGATACTGTATAGCTTTTGACTTTCCTCCTACTTTACTTTACTTTTTTAACATTTCTGGAAACTTTCTGAGTAACAGTAATGAAAAGAAGAAAAGTCCAATAATTTTCTACATGAACCAGTGGCCATTTAGACTGTTGTGACCTAACTGAGCCTATTGCATGTGGGCATCAGACCAACAAGTTAGTTGTGCCTAGTGTAAAAGAAAGGTGTTAGTTTATAGTTACTCTTCTTTTTGAACTCTTATGGCAGATACAATTTGAACCAGTATGGGTTACATGAAGTAAGGGAATAGAATTTGCTTTCTATGACCAGAAAGCCAGTATTACTACATATAAAAAATGAAATTTTTTTATTGTCTGTTATCTTTCTAACTGCATGTGGACATTTTAGATAAAAACTGATCATTGCTGAGTAATGACTAAGTGAGTTCCCTTTCTCCCAGTGTTCTATCTACACTGCTTGTAGCCACCTTGTAGGCTTGTTTTGAGGGGTTTTATATGCTTAGAACAGTGGTTTGAACAAAGTACTGTATGTTTATTATGTCTGTATATCCTACAGTACCTTTCTTGTAGAAGTTCATGTAAAAGTTAATAAGGCTGGCCAGTGCAAAAATGTTGAGTATCCAGCACTTTTGTTATTCACATATACCTCATAAGGGTGAAAGAATGTTTGTAAAGAATAATGAGAAAATTGCCAGGTATTTAGTAATAGTGATGGCAAGGTATATGTATATTATACAAATATTTGATGAGTTTAGTATATTCTCATAACAATTCTGTGATTTATGTAGCATGCACTAGGGGAGTATATAATTTCCATTCATTGACTAAATTAATAAAGTTATATAATTGACCAAGTAGCTATATCTGAATGTATAGTTCTAGGCATAGTCACCAACTATAAGCTACAGTTTTCTTCCTTTCTCACCCCACTGTCTCCATCTCTGGTCTACTTAAAAGACTTACTTGCATTATAATTCTAAACCATTTTCCATTTTAAACACTTGAGAAATTAACCAGTCTTTATGATATGTTAAAGAGAAAATATTCCCAGTAAATGAAGTAGGAAAACACATGGCTTTTCCTCAAGTAACCAAATTATGTGTTTATTAATTTGGCACAGCTGTAACCCTCTCTGGTTTTCAGTCAAGGATTAGTAACCATACCAATTAATAATCCTTTATGAAACACAGTACATCATGGAAAAGCAAGGATAAGACTGTTTCTGCCTCCAGTAAAGCAGATCTTCTCATTTGTCGAATATAAATAACCAAAGAGAACAAACCAGCAAAACAACAAGAATAATTCTTAGACTCTATGACTAATATACAGGTTACAGGAGGAAGGATTAGGGAGGGAAGATGACAGGATTGTGGCACTGGAGCTCTGGTGGAGGGTAAGTGAGGCACCTTCACATGTGGAGGTGTGAAGTTGTCCTCCCCAAATTATATGGTTATGTAAACTATTTTCAAATCGATGAAACTTAGAAAAGAAACAATAATACAGACTTATAGGGCCAGGAACTGACATTTCCTGAACCTGAAAACGTGTTGAAGACTTTTTATCGCTTACTCTTTTTACTATATTATCTCCCACTATCCCAGACTGGAAAGCAGTCTTGGACTGCATTGGAACCTTGACTGCTCAGGTTTGCAGAATTCTTGGAGAAGTCTTGAGAACCCCATTCTGGATCAAACCTGCTTTAGTCTGTATTTTTCAGAAACCTATGGAAACAGCACAAGTGATTAGTGAGTGATCTGTGGAAAGCAGGACTTGGTATTCTTGATCAAGGTATTATAAGGACTTTTCCTTTACACTGTACTAACAACTTAAAAAATGATCTGATATTGATCTATTTTGTGTATAGCTCAAATATAATAATGCATGTTGTACAAGTGTTTTTATTTCTCCGTCATCTAATAGCCTCTCTCTTCTTTCCTCCTGTGAAATCTGTCTCTTCTCTCTTCCAAATTTTATTTCCCACATCTTTCATCTCTATGTCATGCCCTACCTTTTCTGTTTTGCTGAAATATTTCATGTCTGGACCTAGGATTGGTCCTTTCTTGAAGAAAGCTAGAAAAAGGTAAACCGCTGAGAATTATGGACACTGGGTGAGGAGAGTAATGAAATAGAAAGGGTATAAGAAAATGGGGAATATGTTCACAGGAAGCCAAAGATAAAGATTTCTGACAGAAGAAGTTGGAAGTTAGGAAAGTCTAGAATCCCAGA